TGACTCTTTGCTGTTTATTTTATGCCTCTGATACATTCTACTGAAAGGAGATCCAGAGAGTATGAATGAGTGCCTAGCATAACAGCTAGGGTAACAGGACAACAGCTGAGTCTGGGCTTTGGAGTTGAGGGGCACATGGCAAGCTGAGTAGTGCTCACCTTGTCTAAAGAGACTGCTACAGATCAGCTCCATGGTGACAGGAGGGTGCCTTCCACGAGAAAACCCTGTCTCCCTACCCCCAGAATCGCAGTGTATATGTGCAAAAGTACCTCAATTAGCAAGTACAAAGTAAAACTGATCAAGCCAACAAACAGAATAAAACCACCATCAGTATCCAGCCTGAGACACATAAGCGATGTAAAGGGTCTAGCTTTCCAAAATCACTCAATTGCCGGTGGTGTGAAATCCAGAGAAATGCTAAATCATTCTCTTAATCCATACTTAAAAATCTTCCTGTATCTTTTGTGGTAATGTAATTAATAAGCCAACCTCAAGTTGCCATGGAGTGGTTTATATTAAAGCTAACATGTAAGCAGGGCACTGCTGGCTCACATTTGTCTTTCATCCTAGCTACTCAGGTTTGAGGCCAACCTGGGAAAAAACACTCACTAGATTTATCTCCTAAGTAACCTGCAAAAAGAAGGGATGGGAAGGCATGGCTCACGTGCTCAAGTTCCAACTAAGTGATGGTGAAGTCCTGAGTTCAAGTCATGAACAAAAAAGAATGAATGAACAAAAGGGAGGGAGGAAAGTGAAAGGAAGGAGAAAGGAGAGGAAGGGAAGAGATGGGAGAGGAAGGGAAAGGAAAGGAAGAAGGGAGGGAAGGGGAAGAAGGAAAGAGAAAATCTAACAGGTAATATTAACTAATAAACATTATAGTTTCATTTTCTAGTAACTTTTTTTTGTGGTTCAAGGGATTTGAGTAACGTTATTGAATACCCACATATACCCAGAAAAGTGATCATACCATCAATATGAAATGCTTGGTGAAATTTCCCTAAATGAGCTCCACTTGCTCAACAGACTTGAGTCAGGCACTTAGCATTGCAGTTGTTATCAAATGCTAGTCCATGAGAGCCTGGGAGTGAATGCGGGTGCACTGGTCCCTGGTCTCTAGCATGGGCAGAGGGCTTTGGGGCTCAGAAGGCAAGCCAGGCCCTGTGATTACAAGACCCACATTTTCTTGCTGGCAGTAGAGCCAACTCTGAATTCTGATGTGTGTGTGTAAGCACTCTGAACTACCAATTTATGAAGGCCAAGTAGTTAGCTTCCATTTAATATGAAAACGGCTACACATAATGCATGTTGTGGAGAGGGAAGAAAGCACTTGTGAGTTCTGCAGAGGCCTCAAGTTGTCTTGAGCATGTCTTGTTTCCTGTGCTCCATGAAGAACATTCAAGAGATGACTCTGTGTGCACTGTCCTGATGTGGCCTCTTTTCTATTTAAATATATCACCAGTAGCAGTTTACTTACTTATGTCATTTTTCCCTAACATAAACCTAGAAATCAAAATGAGATTCCTCAGAAAACATATATAAAATTTAAACTAAAACTAAAAATGCATTGTGTGTTCCTGGACATAAAAATTAATAAGCATAAGTTCATTATATTTTTTCCAAAGCACAGTTTTGAGTTTGAACTTAGGGCCTTGCATTCACTCATCAAATGTTCTAGTACTTGAACCATACCTCCAGCCTTGCTTTTTTCTTACTATTTTGGCAATGGTGCCTCACAGACTTTCCTGCCCTGTCTGGCTTCAAACCACAATCCTCCAGCTCTCAGCCTCCTGCGTAGCTAGGATTGTAAGTGTGAGCCACTAGCACCTAGGTATTGTCCATTTACAATAGTAAACTTCTGGGGAGTCTGTTAGATTTCAGTGGGTTTTTCCAGCATAAAAGTATTTTCATACTGTAGTGGAACAACCCACTGATTTACCATTTGGAAAAAAAGCCCATGTCAGGTTCTCACCTGAACAAACCTTAATGCTGATGTCTTCAGACTATTTGGAGGACACCTATAGCCCTTCCTAGCTCCAAAATGAATGGCGATATATCCTGAGACAAGAATTCGTTGTAGAAATCATGTCAGCTCAAAAGCTTGCCATGAAACTCATGTTACAATTCTCAAATCTTTTTTTTCTATGAAATTTGTGTGAAATAACATTTCTCCAAGAAGGTAGCAGTTTTCTGTCATATAACTATTATGGTACTTTATCTGCTTCAATGATTTTCCTTTTTAAGAAAAAAAGTCAAACACTCACAAATTGAGGGTATTTATGCCTTTGAAAATGTGCCTGCCATGTCAAATTCCATCGCTTGACAAGAAATGTGGCTATAAATATTATGTTGTGTTTTATACATGCACAGCATCCTTAGGTATGGGGTGTCTATTATCATATATTGACAGCTGTATATAGATTTGCAATGTATATGTATATACTTTTATCCTCAACTATTATTTTTAACCTCCTAAGAGGAAAAAGAATTCTGAAAGAGAAGAGAATGTGTTTTCCTGTGTTTTGGAAGTGTGATTTCTTTCTGCATTATGCCATTCTGAAGCTAAATGAAATTATAGGAAGGAAACTGAAGCTGAATATTCAGTAGAGAATGTGTGAAATGCAGTCTAGAAATAGAGAAGGAAATACCAAGATGACATTCCAGCTGGGAGGGATTCCTAGAGCTACAGGGGAAGTAGAGTCTCTGGCTGGATTTCTTGCAGGCTTTCCTCAGGACTGACTTTTTATCATCTCTATTACCAATCAGATTAGGGGCAGAATTGCTCACTTTGGGTTTTTTCCTTGAATCCTTGCTTCATTGTAATCCCTTTGCCAAGGAAGTGCCAAGGAAACCAAACTGGCTTCCCATCAGCCTGCTCTGGGTTGATTGACACCTGCCTCCAGCTGCAAAGGACCTTCCCTCCCTTCCAGGAAATATGTTCAAGGTCAAAGTCAGGTGGTCACTAAAATCCATCTAAGAGATTTACAGACAAAAACAAAAAGAAGTGTCCAGATGTTGCGGCATACTCCTTAATCCCAGCTATAAGAGAGGCATAGATAGGAAAATCACAATCCAAGACCAACCCCAGGCAAAAAACATCACCCCATCTAAAAAATAAAATAATATAATAATACTAGGAACTAAAATTTAAAAAACAAACAGGTTGGGCCTACCTTGTGACTCAGTTGGTAGAAAACTTGTCAAGCAACCTTCATCTCCTGAGTTTAAACCCTAGTAATGAAAGAAAAGAAAAGAAAGAAAAACTATACTTCAAAAGAACTGTGTGGGCCCCCATCAGGTCAGTGTAGTTGTACTGATGGAATAGTGAAACATCCAATTACCAATGACATGAATTTAATTTTGAAAGCTAGCCACAAGCACCAGTGGTGTCAGTGTTGATTTAGTTGCTTCTCTCCTAGGGCATGTCCATCCCTAGCATAGCCCCCATGATGTCTTTTGCTTAATGTCTTTCTGCTTTGGTAGCTTGCTCTGAATCTCCTTAAAGCAGTTTATTTTTTAGATTTAACTGCGGGCTGCTGTTTTGGTTTTGTTTCGTTTGGTCTTTGAGCCTTTAACAATGCCCCTTTGGCCACAATTGCTAATATACTTACCTAACAGCTTTAAGTAATAGAGAAAAAGCCCCCCCTCCCACCCCATAGGAAGCAGTCACAGTGATCAGCTGTGTTGTTTTTTAATACTGACCTCCATTGGAGTGTTTGTGCACAGGGACTTAGAACCCAGGATTCCCAGTTCTTCCTCAGTACACCTACTAGGTATATTGGTCAAGTATCTCAAATTTGCTAAACTCAGATGGCTGGCAAAAAGAGGGTGAGGCCCACTGGGCACACTGGTGACTCATGCCTATAATCCTAGCTACTTTGGAGGCTGAGGTCTGAGAATCGAAGTTCACAACCATCCAAGGCAGACAGCATCTCCAGACACATCTTCAATTAACCAGCAAAAATCTGGGGGTAGAGGCATGGCTCAAGGTTGGAGAACAAAATTGCTGAGCAAGAATGAGAAGGGCTCAAGTTCAAGCTTCAGTACTGGGAAGGGGAGAAAAGGAACACCAAATGTTTGTGTACAGATTGAATAAGATAACCCAAGATTCCCCTCAGCCATGCTGCACATCTTCCAAGTCTTGGCTGGCAGCCTGGAACACCCCGCTTTCCCTCTCTGCTTCCCAGAGGTCAAACCTGAAGGTTTCTGTCACTGGCCATTTCCTCCCAACCCAGTTGTTATTGTTTAATCCTATCTTTGTATCTGCCTCTCAGAAGATCCAGATTAATCTGCGTAAAGACCCTCAATGAATTCCTATTGATTGGCTGATTGATTGAGTCCAAGACAGCAGACAGACATAAGATTGTCTTTGGTTTGTCACTGGCTAAAGGGAAAATTGCTCTCTCAGCCTAAGGAGGAGCAAATTTACCCTTCCTGTGCCTTTTTTGTTCTATTTATGTCCTCTACTAGGAGAATAAAGCCAGCAGAAGTCATACTGTTGGACTATGTGATGGTACACATTAGTTTACACAGAAGGCAAAGATAGGAGGATCATGGTTCTAGATTAATGCAAAAGTCCCTATCAAAAATAAATATACCCGGGCGCCGGTGGCTCACACCTGTAATTCTAGCTACTGAGATCTGAGGATCACGGTTCAAAGCCAGCCCTGGCAGGAAAGTCTGTGAGACTCTTATCTCCAATAATCCAGTAGAAAACAGGAAGTAGTGCTGTGGCTCAAGGGGTAGAGCACTCGCCTTGAGCTGAAGAGTGTAGGGACAGCGCCAAGGTCCAGAGTTCAAGCCCCACAACTAATAATAAATAAATAAATAAACAAATAAACTTAGAAGTCTTGGGGTATGTCAAGTCATAGAGTGCTTATCTAGCAAACCCAATGTACTGCTTTCAGTTCCTATTACCAAGACCAATAAAAAAAAGATTACACTGTCTGGTTTTCACATTCTGACAGTCTATTTTTTATTCTCTTTGTCTCCTTCTTCTTTAGGTTGTGGCTCTCTCCTCCTGGTGCCTGTTGAGGGATTCCATCTACTACACGCTGTCTGTGGTGGCACTCATTGTGGTAAGTTGATCTTTCTGTTTGGGTCAGCACGGGGCAATGCACAGCTCCTCTGCCTGGAGCAAAGGACACTGGTGGTGAATGGGCAAGTGCAGGTCTATGTGTGGAAACAGCTTTTCCATATTCCTGTTACTTTGGTCACCAGAATTTCTGCCTGGTAACTGAGTCATGGAAAGGGGAGTTATAACTTAGGATGTCTGGGTCCATAGCAGTCCCGTGACTGTTTCTGTAACCCTCCTAACCATTTGCTCTGACTTGCCTCATGGTTCTTTGACTTCCATCTTGAGTCTCCAGGATGCTTGCTTCTCTTTAACAGTACCTCTTACCATAATCACCTTTGTGCCAACACCCTCCACCTGTGTTCTTAGTATGAACATATGCCTAATATCCATTTGTGGGTACATGACTTTTATATTCAACCTCATGTCCCAAATTCAACACAGCTCTAAACTTGATGTATTCTCCCAAGATCCTCTTCTTATATTTCAGCCCCAGTTCTATCACAATCATTTAGCTTAGAAAAATGATACTAAGTTGACATTTGACCTTTGCATCCCATGCATTAGAGTCTTGTAGAAATCTGTCCCATATCCCACATGGAAGGGCCTCTCTACATCCTGGGACCGAATTGATGCAACAGCCATGATGCATCCCATGGCAGGCAGGTCAGGCAGAAAGGTGGGAGCATCACAGCCATTTCTTCCCCTCACTTCTTTACCTGAGTCAATCCTCAGAGCCCCCTAAGTCTCTACTAGGGCTGAGTACCTGCTCAGCCCTTGTTTAACTGATCTGTGGTACCTGTTTGGCGTGGGGGGTGGGAAGCTGGGCAACTCTTTAAGTTTGCCAAGCTGATCCATGTGGAAGAAAATAGTAGCAAAATGGAAAGAACAGAGGTTTGAACTCTGACTCCTAATGCTGGTCCCTTCCCCCTCCCCATACACACACATGTAATGGTTTATTTTATACACCAACTTGATTGAGATGACAGATCCCCAGTGGACTGGTAAAATATTATTTCTGGATGTATCTCAGGTCTTTCAGGACAGATTGGCCTTTGAATCCATACAATGAGTGAAAAAGATCACTCTCACCAATGTGGTAGATGTGAGTGAATCCCTTGATGACCCAAATAGAACCGAAAGTCAGGAATGGTGAATTAGCTTTCTTCTTGAGCAGGGTCATGTCTTCCTCAGCCCTTAGACAGCAGTGCTCCTGATTCTTGGGCCTTTTCATCGGAACTGGAATTTACACCATTAGTTTCTTGATAGTTAGGGCTTTGGAACTAATCCTGTTGGTTTTTATAGGTTGTAGGTCATAGAACCTCTCAGCTTTCATAATAATGCAAGCCAATATCTCATAATTATATGTATATATAGTAGGTATGATTACATGTATGTATGTATATGAATACATATCTCCTATTTGTTCTGTGTTTCTGGGGACCTGGGACTATACACCTGACTAATAATCTTGGAGAGATCGAACCCTCTGGCTTTCAGTTGTCTTACCTACAAGACAAGAAAGAAACACTTAAGACATCTAACGTCATCTGTTTCACATAGCACTCACCTACACATTATTTTATTGGAACTTTCTATGCCAATGAACTAAACATGCTGTTTGATATGCAGCATGGCACTTGGAAGCAGCTGGGTTCTTCAAATCTTCATGTTGAAAATCGCGGTTTACCAACCATCGCAAGGTGTGCTGTAAATATGGAGTTATATGTGCATTGACACTTGTCCTCCAGAGCTTCTAGGGCTAAGAATAAAGAAGATCAACACCCAACTCAAGAGGAAAAGGGCTCCGTAGGCCATGCTGAAGTTAAAGATGTACTTCATCTTTTCAAGCCCTGATTAATAGATTTAAAGATGCAGGAACTGTGCTCTTATTCTTGGCTGTTACTATGGAACCTAGCAATCTGTCCTTTTTGCTCCAACCCATACTTACTGAATTCTCTTTTCAGTGAGATTTGTCCTGAGATCAGCCAACCTATGCTCGTCATGTGTTGTTGTTTTTCATCATGTGCTTTTCTGCCTTTTGGGGGTATTTTAGCATGATTTTTGAAAAAGACTTTTTCAAGAGAGATGGATAAGACATAGTGTAAATGAACACAACTATCTACTTTGCTGAATTCCAGAAAGAGATGACACAGCTCATAAAGACAAGGCGATGAAATGGAATGGAGAAGGTCAAAGTCTGCCAGGAGCTCTGGCTTAGCAATCTCCACTCCCAAGAGCGATTTCCCTGGTGTCAGTCTTCTTAAACTCTGTTTGCAGCATTGACACCTCCTGGACTATATGTGAAATAACTTGTTTGGGGGCCAATTTATCTGGACCTGTCCAAGATAAAATAAATGTAAAATTGCTGTTAATGATGTGTGAAGAAGTAAAGAGATTTGGCTTCTTGTGGGTCGCAGGTGATACTCCCCTGAGCCCGATCTTTGGGACAAACAACCATCCACCCTCAGGGCAGGATGTATAAATCACAGAACGGAGGCAGTTCAATGTGCAGGCTGCCAGGGCAGCTCTGTATTTCCTCTGACAGCAACAAACTACAAAATCAAATTGGCTTTGCCCTCATTGGAAAATGTACACTGTATATTTCAGACATGTTTTCAAAGCCAGAGTTTGGTGATCTTCAGGAACATTGCATTTAACCATTGTTGAAGAAGAAATGGAGGTGATAAAGTTTGCATTCTCAGGGCTGGATCTTGGTTCATCTTCCTTGGACTGGTACTCTCCGCAGCTTCCGCATGCATTGAAAACAACTAGCCTATTGAAAACGCAAGAGCCATTGAATTCCATTCCACAGGCTGTGGCATGAGACTTGGGAAACTGCATTTCAGCCACATCTTCCTCCACCCTCATGGGATCCTGCTGCCAGAAGCTCAGCACAGCATTTTGAGAGAACGTTTGAAGGTTCTAGCAGGGGAGTACAGCTACTCTTACACCCTTTGCCGAAGGGCTTTCCTCCACTGTGAGCAATGGTCATTGTCTTTGACCTGAGTAAGCATGGAGCTGTGAGGGAGGAAAGCGACACCATCTGGCCAGTCAGATCATCTGATTCAACCCTGTCAATCGCTGGGGTGACAGGTGTCACCACTTAATCACCCTCACATTCCACAGGGTTTTGAACCCTGATTGAAAACCTTTGCCTCCCAGAGTATTCCTCCTCATAGCCAGGCAATCATCAAATCTTGAGAGTCCCAAAGCAAAGGCATCATGGAAGCCTGAGGAACTCAAGTTTGTCTGGATTTCTAACTTCTGTTAGTCTTCCTGGATTACCTATTCTTGTTAAATAGAAGCAACACTCTCTAGGGTCATTTTTATTTAAGGCTTAAAACTGTACAAAGAATGAAAGAATGTCACATCCAGAAACACTGCACTTAGCAAAAGCAATGTTCATAGTGTCTCCAAATCTCTTCCACGGCCAAGCCTCAGGCTGTCACTCACAAATACACTGTAGCCTTTTTTTTTTTTATCAGGGTTTCTTGTTCTCTTCCTACCCAAATAGCGTGGTAATGAAATCATTTTTCTTCCTGTGTTCCTTATAGACTACAAGGCCTCTCTTTAGGATTTTGCTATGGGCACTTAAGACTCCTTTATTTCAAAGCCCTTTCTCCCGCCCACAAAATAATTACCAACCTTCCCAAACAATTTATTTAGCTATTTGAGTTTTCTTTTAGTGTTCTCCCCTATTACAGGGTTCTGAAGTATCAGAACAAGTAACTGTTGTTCCCCTGAGGTTCTACAATAAAGAGCCCATTCACCCACAGGGCAAGATCAGAATAAATGGGACCAGATGCTATTTCTGTGTTCATCTCCACCAACAGGCCCCTTGGAGTGGTGCTCAGGACAACCATGGGCTCTAGACATCCAAAGAGCTGGCAAGATGGCTTCTCCAGAGATGTTGATCTGCTCCGGGGCAAAGGGCTCAGAGTAGGCCAGGAAGGAGCTAAGAACATCGTCCTGCCAAGAGATTTAAACAACTGATATATAAACAGACACAGATGGGACAAGAAGGCAAAAACCCAGGTGTACGACAAGTACAACCAACAAATCTAAAGAACAATTAATAGACATCACGTCTGTATTCCCAAAACCCATTACCTAAACATTGCTCAGTACAACTTTATTTGCTTGTTTATTCTAATGAGAAATTAGGGAAAAAGAAATGATTATTTCAAAAGCATAAACTATGTTGTTCTCATGCCCTTCCCCCACCCTTTCTCCCTGGTGATATTCTGTGCAGTGAAGCACCAGACCTTGGGAAAGCTGGACAGTACCTGGACGCTTCCTCCGTGACTGGAGGCGCCCTAACCTATTAGGTCCTGAGGCCATGCTGAGTGTTTTTGTTGTATTTCCCTATCTCCCTCAATCAGGTCCAACAGATGCCTACAGGCTACAGGTCATTGCAAAGCTCCGTCTGCTTCTCTGCCACCCACCAGGAGCACTTGGACCTTGGGCATCTCAGGCCTCCCATGCCTGCCCTTTTTCCAAATTCTAGCAGGCCTGTCTCTTTCCTCTATTGAAATGTTACTGTAATTTACATAATCATGTAATTTCCATAAATGCAAATGATTCGTTGCATCATCAGTCTAACAGCTGCCCTCAAAGAAATACTTTATTTTTACCCTTCATCTCAGTTTGAGGACAGGAACTCAAGAGAGCTTCAGGAGGAGAGAAACCTCCAGGGAAACTGAAGAGGCCTGTGGAGCAGGTTCCTCATCACCAGGGCTGGTACTGAACTCCAGCTCACTAGTGCTGCCCATCGGTAGCCATGTTGGAGGGGTCATCAAGGTAGCCTGGGCACAGGCCCAGCAGTGAGGCGAGTCAAAACTGATGCTTCCCTTTCCATCTCAGGGCTGCTCATTGTCACTGCCCAGGTGAAAGGATCTCAAGATGATTAAGGCAACTCAGCTGAGCACTGCCTGAGATGGTTGGTGCTTTCTGTATGATTCACCATTTAGTAGCAGTAACATGATATTTGAGGTCAATTAC